TATGCATATACATACATACATATATACGTATTCGAATTTCGAATGACATTTCTGAACGCAACCTCTGATGGTAATTGACAATAATCGACAGAGTAATCGATATTGATCGACGGTAAAAAGAAATGTATATAGTAGTGCATCTCGCGACTCTCGCATCAAATATGTAGAAATATATTAATAAAAAGAAAAATATATCAATATAGAGAAATATTTATTACATATACTACATGCTGATGGTACACATTAAAAATGCAGCGTTACTCAAAAAACTCTGCAGTTACTCAATGTATGCACATACATATACGATCGTGGCGATCTTGCAACTCATTATCAGCTACTGTGCGTCAGGACTGTCAGGTGTCCGGTTGAGTCGCCTGAGATGCCATGCCATTGTCATCAGAGTGAGAGATTATCAAGTAAGATTGCAAAATATCTCGCAACTCTCGCAAGCAAAGTGTGCACAATCCAAGTAGCAAAAATATCAAAGAGAAAATTATTAAGAAAATTATGCACGGAATAAAGGAACAAAGCAACAAGGTTATGCTGATTTGACATAATGACATCGATGATTTGAGGTTATGACGCAATATATGAATTAAAATCATTAAAATACGGTAGAGAATGTTATCGAGGAACCGAATAAATCGCTCGTCCAGTGACGAAAGTAGGCGTGAGGATGACAGGTGTTACAGAAAAAAGCATCGTGATGATTGCAAAAGGGAAAAACGCATCTCCTCAGGATCTGCGCGAAACAATGGAAAACAGGAAATACACAAGCAGATTTCCGATCACACGAGTAATTCTCTCGTGCGAAACTCATTCTTGGAAAATCGTCACGAAGATAGCAACGAGGACAACTCGTATTTCAGTAAATGTAAGCAGGAATTGATCAAGATTTTCACGGCAAATCCGAATGTTGTCCATGACGTCGCGGACTTTTGGAAATTTGTCGAGAAATACGAGTCCATTAAGAAACAATTGGGCGATAGTGATGAATCTACAGTTGATTCTGCTCTAAATTCCATTGGGCTACCGGAAAAGTATCACAAGTCCCATTGTCTAAATTTGAATCTTAATTTGTCTTATGGAGAATTGTTTGCCAGAGTCCCAGAGATCAAACCGTTGACCGCATCGCGACTGCTCAAGTTTAGGGATGTAATACTCTTCTACTTGGATTTTAAACAAAAGGAAAAATTTAACAAATTAAAAAAGCTCCGAGATACACAAGCTAACTTACCAGTCGCACAATATAAAGAAGAAATTATCGAAATGGTAAAGAGGGAAAAGGTAATCATTGTTGCAGGAGATACTGGTTGTGGGAAATCTACTCAGATCCCTCGATATTTATATGAAGCTGGTTTTCGAAAGATTGGTAAAGTAGTTTTACTACAAGTGTTATTTGTCAGTCTAAGGATTTTCAGTGTATATTAATTTATAATTATGCAGCACAAATTAAATCTAACTTTTTTTTACTTGTAACTTTTACAGCATGCACTCAACCCCGAAGAATAGCATGTATCTCGTTAGCGAAACGAGTTGCTTTGGAAACATTGAGCGAGAATCTTAATAGAGTTGGATATCAGATACGTTTTGAGAAACAGAGAAACCAAGAGACAAACATTACATTTATAACAGAGGGTTTATTGTTGCGCCAGGTAGATATAATTAGATATACATATGTATAAATACTATAAATTATTAGATAATTTCGACAGTTTATGTAAATTTTTTAAATAGGTGTCGGGCGAATTAACTTTATTCGCATATGATGTGATAGTTTTGGATGAAATACATGAACGTCATCTACACGGGGATTTTTTACTCGGAATCATGAAATGTATCATTTATCAAAAACCCGATTTGAAATTAGTATTGATGTCCGCCACTATTAATATAGAACTTTTTAGTAATTATTTTGCAAAGGAAAATGTGAAAGTAATAGAAGTAAGTGTCTCTGTGTGTACATACAGTAATATATTTTAATAATTTAAAAAGCTTAATCACATTAATGCAATTTTACTTGTACTTGTTGGCACAAGCCTGTCACACATCAACTCACTGACATTTTCACATGTACATAGGTTCCTGGAAGATTATATCCAATTCAATTATTATATCGTCCCATAACTGTACAAGACATTGGATACAAAAATGATAAATTTAATCCCAGCCCATATGTGCAGATAATGCAAATGATTGATCAAAAGTATCCAGGTAAGGAAGCTATATCTTACGATAATTAATAGAATAAAATCAATAAATGTAACAAAAATCAATTATGATAAAGAATGGATGTAAGATATTGTGCTCTCTCTCTCTCTCTCTCTCTCTCTCTCTCTCTCTCTCTCCCCCTCCCTTCCTTTCTCTCTCTGCATGCATACGATTCTCTCTCGCTCTCTGCTTCCTCTCTCCGCCTCTCTCTGATCTCTCTTTTTCTTTCCGTCTGCCTCAGGTTAGACCTCCGCCCTCCCGCAGCACTCTCCTCTCCCCTTTGTCTCTCTCTCCCTTTTTTTCTCTCTTTTTCTCTTCGCCACCACGCTTCCTGTCTCATTCTCTCGCGAGCCGCTCACCTCGCTTAACGTCAAAAAACATCGCGATTTTATCATCCCTTTCAATTAACTTAACAATATGCCAGATACACAACAAGAGATAGCCAATAGTTCCGCAGCCGTAAACGCGACCGACCGGGGGCCGACGGGGCGGCGCGGCCGCCGGCATCAGCCGCCGGCAAAGTTTCGTCCCGCCGTGGACGTGCAGGCTGCGCGCCGGCCAGAACGGAGCGAGGCGGAGGCGAAGCCGGATCGGAGACGCCGTGCCCGGAGAGAACCGGCGAAACGCGCATAACACACCGCCTCTCGAACGAGTGACGATGCCTTGGCATTGAAACGAGTCTACTTTTCGGCGCGCGTAATCCCGATCGTAATGTCGTGGCCATTATGCACGGCGATCCTTTCTGTCCCTTTTGCTCCATTTCCTTTCTTCTCTCTCTCTCTCTCTTTTTCTTCTTCTTTCCCTTTTTTGCCTCTTCGTTTCTTGCATCTCGATACGTCGCGAGGACTTGCCACCGCGCGGTCGATAAGATTCTCTTGCATATTGAAGTAGGTACTCGCGAGGATACAATGTTGGCTATCGAAGAGAAGCGACGGTAGCCCTTCCCTCTTTTTTTTTATTTACGCTACGCTTCTCATGCTGTCCGTCGTACGGCCGCCCACACGTATGTAGTACTTGCTCCCTTTCCTTCGCACGCTACACCTCGGAAGAGATCCCGAAAAGTTGTACGATGACAAATGACCACTCACGAGTGAGCCATCTGTATTATGCGGCTTATCTCGCGATAAAGTCGCGGCTCGGAATATTTTTCGGATTATTGTTCGTTATATCGCCCTCGCACTCGGCTACCGATCTTACGCGCAACTCGCAAGCATTTCAATTTTTATGTCCCGTGTAGGTAATCTTGTTCTCGAGATCACGCTCGTTATTTACAAGGAGGCTGCTTTTTTTTTTACCGCTATACGCTATTTGTTCTTTTGCAGCTCGTTACGCCGCGACGCTTTTTCTTCGCGGTGGGTTAAGGAGGCCCCCGGTTGACGAAATACTGCGGCGGCCGTTTCGTCCCGCGACGTAATCTCGCGTTGCATTATTTACCGCGACGTCTCGCCGCCGCTGCCACGCCGCGCCGGTGCCGGTGCCAACGACCGGGCGAGTAAAACGCCGCGCGTATTTTACGCTCGTAAAACACGATTAAAATAAAGCGTTAGATTTCTTCCCGAAACCACTTAACGACAAATTCCGGTCGTTGACTTTTGCAACGTCATTATTGCGAAATTGCCTCATTGTATCGGCCGGAGGGCTCGCGCGTAAGCGAGCGCGCTACGGTTTCTGTATTGAAAAGTAGGAAGTAAGAAACGCCTCTCTCTCTCTCTCTCTCTCTCTCTTTCTCTATCTCTTTTTTTTCTTTCTCAACTGTTACCATCGATCAATCACGATTCTTATCTTCCAGCTGTGTCGAGTCGCGAGATCGCATCTGATAACGATGAGAAAAGAATTACGCGAACGCGCTGGCCGAACGAAAAACTGTCTACCTTGAAAAGTTAAGCTCCGTACGCGGGTCCGTCGCGAAAAAGCGTTCTCGAGCTCCTCCGCGACGCGACAATGTAACGATGTAACGAGAGAGGACCTTTATTTTCGGTTCGATGATTAATCTAGAAGTGCCGCGAGATCGGCCGCACCGGCTAACGGAGCACGATCGTGGCGGAACCGTGTTAAAACGCGCTTTTTACCCCCCGCGGTAACCGAAACGCCTCTCCCGTGTCCATCGAGATCAGCACAGTCATCGTCGTCGTCTTCATCGTCCTCCTCCTCCTCCTCCTCCTCCTCCTCCTCCTCCTCCTCCTCCTCCTCCTCCTCTTCTTCTTCCACCCTCTTCGCTTTCGTCCTCTTCCGCTTCGTTATCGACATGCACGCCGATAGATTACGTGGCGATGCCAGAGAGTCCACCTCTCTCCCTTCACCTACATCTCGCCCTTCTCACATCATTTTTATTCATCCTCGAAAAATTCCGAGGGAGCCGCTCGAGGCTCCGTTTTGATCCATTCCCCGCGGGAACGTTTCGCAGACAGAGAGACAGTGATGAGCAGAGTATAGCGACAAAGTCTGAAAAAATCGGGAAAAAGTCCATTTGCTCAGCTGCAAAGTGCAATGGAGTCGCGTTGAGAATATGGTCTGTGTGGATCATTTCAAGGACGCGATGAGACCGGTAGAAGTATCGTTGCGCGTTTGAAATTCCTTCGACCCACCTCGAGGACTCGCGTTCAAGTAATTGCCGTCTTCTTCAGTTCACCGAGTGCCTCTAACGGTTATCTCCGTGTCGGAGATTCGCATGGTCAGACACGGCGTGCGCGCGCGTTCGAGTATCCATACATCGCATGTCGTTAGGAAAAACGCGCGACTAGTTGCCGGTTTCGAAGAATTAAAGGACTAGCTGGAACGGAAGCGGGAAGAGACTCCATGACGTGGAGGACTCACGCACACGCTGCCTTTTCTCTCTCTCTCTCTTCTCGTTTCATGACGATTTCACTAAAAGAAAGAAGAAAATTCCGTGAAAGTGATATAAAGCGATGCCGCCGCCGGGTGCGGTGAAAGACTTCCGGCTGTCTCTCCCCCGGAGCTCGCGTGAAGAAACATTTTCGTGAATAAATATTACATTCTTTTTCTGGTCGAAGGAGCGAGACCGGGCCCGGCCCGGCCGTCTCGCACGTACTTACCTCCCGGTTTATCACGGAATCCGCGGACCGGTGGTGCGTTTTTACGTTTTCTTTCTTTCTCTCCTCTTTCTTTTACTTTTTATTAATGGCGCATGGATAGTCCGTGCCAGAGCCTTGCTGCGGGGCTTCCACCTTGCTTAACCATCCTCGTTGTCGTCAACTTCTTGTTCCTCTTGCTCTACGCCTTCTCATTATCGTGCTGCCGAAATGTAATGGGTCACGGTTTGCGAAAAGCGGAAAGAGTGAAAGACTGACGGGAAGAGAGCCGCTTTCTCTCACTCTCTCTCTTTCTCTCGTGTTGCCGTCAGAACGCAGGAAGATGCAGCGCGGAGAGGAAGTCGAGACGGTGGAAACGCGAACAGATTCAGAGCGATTATGCGCGACGTCGTTGCACGTAATTATTAATTATAGCTCTTACGATCGTCTAAATGAAGTCGTCCGAGCGCGGCATAGATTCCGCTCGAAGAAGGAAACCACTCGAGATTCCACGACGATTACGCGCTGTGTGCCTTCCTTTTTTTTCTAGGCAAACAGCTCGAGGTTTCAAAGTGTCCTAACGAGCTATTGATTTAATGGCAGCCGATTTAAATTATAATAAACCGGTTATTCATACTTGATCTAACGACGAAGATAATAAAATTGACGGGAAGTATTTCCGTCCTGCCGATCGCGCTGACCGTTTGCACAGCCGCGAAGAAAAGGAGCGCGGCGATCGGTTGATGATGCTTTCTATAGAACCCGATTAGTCGGTTTCTGTTTTCGAAACGCGGCAACATTCTTTAACAGTGCAACCTTGTAACTTATCGAACATACGCGGAGGCTTCTCATTTATACGCCTATTTTATTTACCTGTAGCATTATAACTGGTTTCGAAGAATTAATGCCCCTAATTTATATTATATTTCTCAGAACTTGTTATTACATACTTTTCTGTGCCGCGCCTCACTTTGCAACAAATTTAAAGTTAATTCCATTTATAAGGCCTAAAATTAATTGTGAACCTCGTATCATTATAACGCGCGTAATTGTTGCATCGATCACGCGCGATCGTGTACGCGCGACAAAAATGCCTCGGTTATAATTAAGCGGACAAAGATATGCAATACGAGCAAATATTTCCAAGCGATTGCGCGCTACGTCACCTCGCTGCATTGCCACTCGAAGGTATCTCCTGGCATGGCGATCCCGAAAAGCCGGTATCATCGCGGAGGATGATCGCGAGCGGAGAGTACCTCGGTGATGCGCTCACGTCGCCCATCATTCCCGTCTACCCCGTAACCGTATCGTACCCGTACCGTATCGTCCGGCCGGGCCATTACGCCGGTACGTGGTCTATAAGCTATGGGGAGCACAGAAAGTTACGGCGTGCGCGGTCGCGCGGCGAGAAAACCCCCGTGGACCGGCCGCGGCGGGATCGGCCGGTTGTCCGCTCGTAACTCGAGGTAATTAGAATCAGAAGTACCTACACCCTTCTCCCCCCCCCCCTCGCCCGTCGGCTCTTCTCGGCCCGTCCGCGTCCCCTCGCGGCCCTACCCTCGCTCCTCCTCTCATTCTTATTCCACCTTTTGCCTCGGTGCCTCGTGTACTCTGTCGGCCGTCGTCTCCGTCGCCCCATGCGGCGCGTTTGCATATACACGCACGTGCGTAAGCGATGCGCGCGAGGCAGGTCGCGCAGCGCGTAGACGTGCGCGTGCGGCTCTTCTTCCCTTTCCCCCGCTTTTCCCCTGCACCGGGGAACCGTTCGTCTCTTTAAGTTTCTACCTTCTTTCCGCTCTTGCTTGTGTATCTATATAGGTCTTTCTCTTCTTCTCTTGCCGCGGCATACGGAATTTCCTGTCTGATGGTACACGAGTATCCCCGTTATTAACACGTTAAAACAGCAATTGTGTATACGCGCTTGAACGACAGATTGAACTAACGTTAAATTCTAAGCAAATCTGAAAGTCCAACGAAATTATTAAAATTGATTGAGATGACTAAGTTTTCTCCTAAATGTTATTTGTGCAGATATAAAGTCAGCGCATTTTTTTTTTACTAT